CGTGTATGCTTACTCTGTGTGTGTGTGTGTGGTGTTTGTACAGTATATATATATATATATAATATCTGTGTATGTGTGTGTGTGTGTGTGTGCATGTACTTTTTTTTGTTTGTAAATGCTAAAAAAGCGAATGAGGAAAAAAAAGACCAACATCCTTCCTTGTCCCATTGCCCTTCTTCACTTACGGTGCGGGGTGAGACGTGTTCGTCCTTTCCCCTTCTTGTGTGTGGCTGGGCGTTGCATTCCACTTAGACAAACCGGCATTTTGGCCTCCACTTTGAGGCGCCTGGCGGGAATGTTTTCTGGCGCGCTCACCACCGCCAGCACCACCGCGGCGTTTTACCTTCCGTTCGCCTTTTGTTACTTTCGTGTTGCGAGTACCCGGATCTTCGTTGCCGTGCTGGTGCCGTGGCGCTGGCGGTGGACGGCGGCGATACACACAGCGCAGCCGCAGGGGCGGGGAGAGAGAGGCGCATGTTGGGCGGGGCGAAGCAGCGGCACGGGCGCTCCGCAAAGAAGGCGGCCACCGCCACCGCCACTACTGCGGCAAAGAAAAGTAACAAGCCGGGCACTCCGCTACAGACGAAGGGCCACAATGGCAGCACTCTGAAAGGCCCCGTCGTGGCCCACGCGAGCGGGAACGCCAGCCGTGACTCGGCAAACGACCGACAGCAGATTCCGTTTAAAAGCAAATTGGAGGAGCGGGCGTACAAAAGGGCCAAACGCATCCCGCGCTACGCCCCTGCTCCGGGGGGAAACGGCAGTGGCGGCAGCGGCAGTGCCGTGGCCAAGCGGCCTAGTGGTGCCAGCAGCGCAGCCCAGCGTCGCGCCATCCTGAGGGCAAAGGGCGATGACGCCGTCCTGGAGCACTTTCGCACAAAACTCTCGTCGAGTACGTTTCGGTTGTTAAATGAGCAAATCTACAACTCTACGGTGGCCTTTGCCAGCCAGCTGTTGCGCGACCCATCCACCTACGCGGACTACCACAATGGCTACCGTCAGCAGCTGGAGCAGTGGCCGTTAAAGCCAAGTCAAGTCATTGTGGAGGCTCTGTTGGGTGACCGTCGTGGCCGCTTCCTTGCAAACAAGGCCAAGAGCATGCCGGGGTATATTCCGACAAGCTGGGTTATCGCAGACATGGGATGCGGGGATGCGCAGGTTGCGCAGGCGATGCGACCAAAAGGGTACACCGTCCACTCCTTCGATTTTTGTGCCGTGAATGAGTACGTGACGGTGGCCAATGCCACCAGTGTGCCTTTAGACGACAATTCCGTTGACATCTGCATTTTCTCACTCAGCCTCATGTCGACAGACTATGTGGAGTGCCTTTATGAGGCCTTCCGAGTCTTGAAGCCGAAACGTCTCTTAAAAATTGTCGAGGTACGCTCTCGCATTCCACACCCAAAACGCTTCTCGGAGCTGGTGGAGAACATCGGCTTCGACCTCGACTACCACGACACGGTGGGGGATTACTTTGTAGCGTACGACTTTCTGAAGCGCGAGGGGCAGACGAAGGCTAATCGGGGTGTGAAGTACGACCCACAGGAAGTGTTGGTGGCGTCCCTCTACAAGAAGCGATGAGTGAAACGCGGATGTCCACGGCGCCTTTCTCTGGAGAGAATCCGGGGATGAGGGCGAGATGACGGCCAGGGGACGCAAAAAAAAAGGAAAAAAAGGAAAAGAAAATAGCACGGACGAAAAGGGCATCCACAAGGAAAGTACGGTGTCGGTTAAAACTGTTCCGGGGGGCGCCTACGCGCACAAACGTGCGAAAAACGAGGTTGAAAATAAGAGAGGGAGAAAGAAAGAGTCGTTTTGCGGAGAAACACTACATAATTCCGTCGACGAGTGCAAGCTTCATGTAAAGCTGTGCACACGGTGCCCCTTGCCGTGTTGTTTTGGCTCCAGTTTTCCATAAGTAATCTACTAATTCGTATCATTCATTCCTGTTTGTTTTCCTCTTCTTTGCATGTTGAACTCCTGTGTTTGTTTCCAATGAAGCACGGCACCTGACGACGGTGCCTCCGCTCTTGATAATAAATGACTCATTTTGCCTTTTTTTTTTCGTGCATCCACACACCCCTGCATATGTATACACCCCCCTCTGCGTGTGCTTGTGTGCTTGCTTGTTTTTGTGTTCGCACACATCATCCGGTGGGCGTGGAATGTCCATCTTCGGCTTGTACGCATGTATGGATGCGAAGTGAAGTGGCGGCGAATGGGCCGGCGCTGTAGACGCTTCGGCTTACGCGTGGCTGCTGTGGGGGTGGCGCTTGTCTCCGGGTGGGCGTCGTACCACCGCTGGCAGCTGCGCCGCAGCGCTGTCACCTCTTTGTCTGCGGGTGCGACGATGAAACGCCCACCGTCCCACGCCGTGAAACTTGGGCTGCTCGCGGATAGCACGAAGGAGAAACCGTTTGACGTCCTCGTCGTTGGCGGCGGCGCCATCGGGCTGTACACCGCCGTCGATGCTGCCCAGCGTGGCCTGCGCGTGGCTTTGGTTAACGCCGATGACTTCGGCTCCAGCCTCACTGGAACTTCGCCGCCGCTTATTGCTGGTGCCTTTCCGTACGTGCAGCGGGCACTGCGGCAACGTGACTTTCTATGGCTTCGCCGCGGCGTGGAGGCGTGGCGTGCCTTGACGGTGTGGTCGAACGTGGCACCAGGGCTCCTGCAGAGTGGCGTCTCCACCCTCATCCCCTCCTCGCACTTCTTGGAACTGACGGAGTTGGTGGTGGCGGCGGTCATAGCGACGCTGCTGAGTCCGTTTTTGGGTGCCTGGAAGCCATTCCGCTTTGTGCGCGGGTCCGCCTTGCGGACGGAGGGTCACGGAGCCGAAACTGAAATGCAGGGCGGCGTTCTCTTGACGGATTCCTTGCTGGACGGCAACGCCGCCTCGGTGGCGCTTGCTCGCACTGCCGAGGCGCTGGGTGCGGTGGTCCTCAACTACGCCTCCGTGACGAGCATCGCGGACGTGGAAGCAGCGTCGGCGGTGCATGGGCGAGCGAACTTTGCCGTTGTTGTGAACGATGTGAGTGCGCCGAAGGGCGCGGAGGCGCCGGTTCCACGCGGAGTCACCGTTTACACGCGCAGTATTGTGAACTGCGCCGGGTCTTGGGTGGATGAGGTGAAGCAGCTGATGCCGAACAACGCGGCGGATGCAGTGCCGACTGCTGTGGCGCGGCACCAAGTGAGGTCCTACTTTGTACTGCCCCGCAGCGCCGTGCGGCCCGTGATAACGAACGGCAGGCTTTCTTGCCTTGGCTCCGACGCACTGTTGCTGTCACCCACCTCCTACAGCTTCGCCTCAATGATGCTGCTGCCGTGGTTTGATGACTGCGTACTAATTGGACCAAGCCTCTCTTCCCTGTCCCGGCTTCCCAGTAAAAGTTACGCCGTGGCCCCAACGACGGTGTTGGCGCTGGTTGACACGGCAAATAATAGGGGGTATGATGCGCAGGGGGTGTACAAAAGCCAACGGAGGCATCTCTGCCGCGCCTTACAACTCTCCGGCGTAAACATTGATGAGGACCGCGTCTTGTCGTGTCTTTCGTCTATTGTGCCAGTTATTGCGCCTCCCTCGCGTGTTCCTTGGGCAGAGGAGGTGTTTATGGAGGGCTGTCACGTCATCGCGGGAGGGCAGCAGCCAAATGTGGTGCACGTCTACGGGGGGACGGTAGGTTTTGCTAGAGATATTGCGGAGAAGGCTGTGGATCGCCTCCTGCATGACAGCGGTGCGTTTACAACGACGGAGGCGACGCAGCTGAGGCCGTGTCAAACGAGGCGTCTGGCCCTCGTTGGGGCGCAGTCAGGCGACGCCGGGGGCGGTGATGTCTCCCCAGTCACACGCCTGCAGAAGATTGTGCGTGAGGAGTACGCGGTGCGTGTGCTGGACGTGGTTGCGCGGCGGAGGCACACCGCATACAGTAGTCCTGCGGAAGCGTTGGCGGCTCTTCCTGCCATTGCGGAGGTGATGCGGCGTGAGTTGGGGTGGACGGCGGAGCGAACACAAGCGGAGTTGGATTCGGCACGTGCCTTCATCCGCAGCATCAGCGTCGCCTGAGGCGGTCGGGTTGGAGGCGGTTATCGCTTTGAATAATTTTGGCTTTGGTTAGTCTTCACCTGTGTGTATGGGTGTGTATATGTGTGTTGTTGTAGCTGCTGTTGTTGTTGCTGTTGCTGCTGCTGCAGCTGATCCTCCTCCTTTGTGCATTCGCATTGCCTCGTGCACGCGGGGGTGGTGGATGCCGCAGTCCGGGGCGAGTTTGCGATGCGCTTTTTATCCCATTTCTCCCGCTGGGAAGGAAGAAGTCACGAGGCTTCTGCAGCCGTGGGTGTGTGTAGGCGGAGCGCTTTTTCACTCCCGCAATGCCCGTCTTGTTCCACGAGCACTACAAGGTACGCTACGTGCCGCGCGGCTTGGGTTCATGGGTGTTCTACCTGCTCAGCCTCCTCATTGTTCTGGTGGCGCCGGTGTTTATTGGATTCGCGATGGGGAACTTCTGGCTGAGGCGCGGCGAGTTCACGCAGAAGCCGCGGGTGCGTTTTACCGACCGCTGCGTCCTGCGCTACATCACCGTTGGGGGACAGGAAAAGCTTTGGACCTGCTCCAGCACCTTCAATGAGGAGTTTGTTGACGGCCAGCCGGAGCTGGCGGTGCTGCCATTCGTCTCCGTCTACGAAGACGGCCGCGACGCCGATGCTGGGGTGGACGTCGTGACGATGGTTCTCAGTTTGCCCCTCCCTGCGCTGAGCGGCGGCGCAGAGGGCACTTCGCCGCCTGGTGTGAAGGACGACGTTTTTCGGGTGGATTTTCTTCCCGAGTTTTTCTACGAGGTCGATCACTACCTGCTCAAGCTGAAGATGCGGGCGGCGGCGCTCCTCAGTTTTGAACGCGCAAGCTGGGCGCCTGGAGGGGCGCGGGGACCACTTGCCGCCCTCACGGAGGGCGACCTTCTGTTCCACTCCACAGAGCCACTCATCGTCTCCCCAGACGTCCACTACACAAGGACGTACGTCGATAGCCCCTTTGACAACGTGGCAGACGTAGATGAACTACGTAACGTGCCTCTCTTTGCCGGCCAGTACACCATGCGGAATCAGTCCGTGCAGTTTAAACCATACGTGGAGTCCGCCGGCGGACTTGCTATGCTGCGCGATGACAACTACGGCCGTGTGCTAGGGGAAGATTTAGACGCCTTGGACGACTTTACCTGGCGTATTAGGCTGCGCATTCAAAATGCGGAGGTAAAGTACGTCCCCTCGATTCAAGAGGCTCTAAAATGGGCCTGGGTGCAGTATTTCTGTATTGCGTACGTCCTGCAATGGCTGCTGTGGCGGCTGCGTGGCGTTCTTGTGAAGTCGGGTGTGCTGAAGACCACAGCATTTTTTCACCGTGGCTGGAAGTCCAATTAGTGTGTGTGTGTGTGTGTGTGTGTCTGTTTGTTTGTGTGCTCGGACGGAGCTGGGGAGGGGGCGAGGGCGTCGAGGGAGCGGACCGACACGGCCAGCCCCAAGCAGGAACGAGCAACAAACAGTCAGGCCCATAGAAAGAGCGAAGTAGAGAGAGAGAAGTAGCCATTGTGTGTGCTTTTTGTGTTGTTGTTCTTGCTGCCCACCCTCTGAGAGGGGAATTCCGTTCCTTTTTTTTGTGTGTGCCTGCGTCTGCGTATTTCTCCGTGCGCCGCACTTTGGTGTCTGTGCATTCGCAAGTGCTTCGCCTTCGCGTTTTGGTTTGGCCGCGGCACCCCCACGGCCGCCCCGTCTCGGCTTACTTCCCGCACACCATCCGTGTGGGAAAGAGAACGCGGGGGAGAGCGAGACTCTGCGCTGCGCTGCGTGGGCGTGGGTCGCCGGCCTCCCACACGCAACGCAGGCAGCGGCAAGCGCGGGGCCGCCGAGAGGAGAAGAGGGCGAGCGCGGGGTAGATGGCGGTTGTGGTGGTGCAGGTGGGGCAGTGCGGCAACCAGCTGGGCGAGGAACTCTGGCGGCAGCTTAAACTGACGACAAGTTCGGGGGCGGTGCCGTCTCCCTTTTTCACGCGCGACCGCAAGGCGCGCTGCGTGCTGGTGGACTCCGAGCCCAAAGTAGTCGCTGCGGTGCACACGCGCCACAAGGAGATTTTTCGCGCGGAAAATGTCGTCTACGGTGAGTCCGGTCGCGGCAACCACTGGGCGCTTGGCTACTACGGCGTCAACGACCTCCTGGGCCACCGGGCGGCGGAAAAGGCGCGCCCGTTTCAGGTGGAGAAAGACCAGCGGCGCCGTGACGGCTGCGTCGTGCGGGACGCACTCCGCGCGATTTACGCCGAGACGCGTCGCACAGCCGACGCGATGGAGTTTGAGGCGATTCTCGTACTGCACAGTCTTGTGGGTGGGACAGGCAGCGGCATGGCCACCCGGCTGCTGGAGAAGATTCGCTACTACTTCATTGAGCCCCTGGACTCGGCGCAGGCGGTGGACGAGTGCGAGGAGGCCGCCATGATGCGGCGCGACGGGTTGGACGGGATGATGATGGATAAGCGGCGAGCGTCGTACCTCGTCAGCGTCACGGTGGCCCCACAGGCCATTGGGGAACTCTCCACGCAAGGCCTAAACGCCGCCCTCACGCTGCACGCGCTACAGGAGAATGCCGACGCCGTGCTACTGCTGTGCAACGACGACTGCCTCCGCGTCGAGGCAGTCTCCTCCGCCGGAGTCCGTCCTCGCAGCCGCGCCTCCTGCGCCGCCTCCGTTTCACTCATCAAAGCGTGTGCCACCTTCACGGAGATCAACGAGGTATTTGTGACGATGCTGCTCCCGATACTGCTGTACGGCCGAAGTGCCAACGCTGTGGGGGATCTCGTGCTAAAGTGTTCCCCCAATCATCGGGAACTCAACAACATTCTGACAATTCTGCCCACCCCGCAGCGGCAGTACTTGCGTTTTAAGGGGTCTGTGACCCTCTCGCGGTTTTACATCCTCAGCGGGTCCAAGCAGCACATGCCTGGCGTGTACCCTAGCGCCCCAATAGAGCTGTTGCACACCGCGCGTTCCATGCGGAACCCCGATTTGGTGACATCGAGCGAGGAGGTGCGGGTGCCGAGGGAAATAGTGAAGAGTTTCACAGAGACTGCGGCCTCACGCCGCTCCGCCGCGGCGGCTCTCCTGCAGCAGATGGAAGGGGTCCTCGTGTTAAACGAGGCACGGGAACTGAATGCGGCGGTGCTGTTTCCTTTACTGCGGTCCGCAGCAGTGAAAGTCAAGGCGGGGGCCTTTTTGTCAACCTTTGAGGAGATGGGGATGGCGGCGGAGTGCATACGGGCAGCCATACAAGAGGTTGCCGCGAGACTCTCCGCCGCAGAAGACGTTTGATGGACGATGGCCTTTTGGTGGGTTTTGTTGCTCTTGTTGTTGTTGGAGTTACTTCTTGTTTGTTTGTATGTTTGTTTTGTATTTATCACTTTATTTTTCCGTTTTGCGTCTTTTGCCAACATGCCGTCTGCTGCACACCGACTCCGCTTGATCCGACCTGCGCACGCACACAACTGTGTGTTTGCGGGCGGGGTGTCTGCATTGTGAAGGCCTCCGGCAGTTGCTTTGGCCCATTGCCGATGGTGGTGTCTCAAGAACTATGTATTTTTGCTCTGTTTTTTTTTTGTTCCCCCTCCGTTGTGGCCGGAGCGTGTCGGTGTGTGCGAGAGGGAGAGAGATAGATAGAGAGGAGGGCGGGGGCGGGGGTTGGCATCTTTCTTCGCCGTAGTTGGGGGAGGAAGAGGCGGGCATTGAAGCCTGCTCTTCTCCGGCCCGTGCAGCCCACCTCGCGCCTGCGGAGATGCGCCGTGTGGGTCTCTCAGCCTGCGGGGTTTTTTTCCGTGGCGCACACGGAAGCCGCACGCAGTACCGCTGCGCCGTGCTGCCGCCCGTAGACCGCGTCGGCGGCGCAGGCGAAGAGGAGTCTCCCCGCACCTCCTACCGCTTTGCGGTGAGGGATGAGGAGCGGGGCCTGTACGATCACGGCCTCGACCCGGACGCGCGGCTTCTCATGGCGGAGGCGGAGGCGCAGTACAAGGCGAGCGCCGACTACCTGCACGCCCCGCCGGGCGGTCTGCCCCCTCCAGAGCTGCGCTTGGACGCGGAGGGGGCGACAGTCTCGTGCATCGCCGCCCCCTTCGCGGAGGAGTACGTGCCGTCTCACAAGGAGCGTTACGCCCACCGTGGGCACGTGGGCGAGCTCAGCATGCAGCGCGCTGTGGAGCGGAAGTTTCTGCTCAACGCACATGCGGAGTTAAACCTGCGCAAGGAACGCCAGCTGTGCGAGATGATGTCCTCCCCAATGCCGTCGCTCCAAAAGGCTGGGGAAGTGGAACGTTTGCTGCATGACTTTTACCTCCAGCGGCTAGCCCTCTCTCCCCGCAACGTGGAGGCCATTGTCGCTCTATGGGCGCAGTGCAGCGTGGAGGAACGCCTCGCAGGACGGGCGCAGGTGCCGCAGTTGACGTCGTCTACTTCCGCTGGGGAGAGGGGTGTTGATTCCGTGGCCGCCGTTGATGCGGTGCCATTTTTGCCTGCCATGAAGCGACTGTACTTTCATGCCCGTCAGACGCACGTTGCCCCCACGCCGCTGGTCCTTGAGTGCCTCATGACGACACTGGCGGCTGTGAGCGCACCAGACAGCCGTGTCTTTCACCTTTCCAATCGTTTACTCCTAGACGCTGACAAGTACGTTGTGCTGCCAACTCGCACGACGTATGCCGCGTTTTTTGCCATCTGCAGTCTCCACAACGCCATGTCCTTTGCCGTGGCCCGCTTCAAGGATGCTGTGGTGAACCTGCACGTTGCCGTGGACGCCACCATGGCGACGGCGCTGTTGAAGGGCTTCTGCCAGAACGGATTAGTGGAGGAGGCGCTGGCGCTGCTGGCGCGCATTGAGCACGTCCCTTTGGACGTCCATCTCCTTAACGCCTCTATGGAAGTGCTTTTGCTTTCTGCACAGCCGCAGGCATGCTTTGCCGCGTTTGACGCGACGCAGTCCTGTCCTCTGCAGCCCAATGCGGAGACGTATTCGCTTCTCCTCCTCGCATGTGAGCGCTCAGGCCTTTGGTGCCGGGCCACCGCCATCCTCGCCGACATGCAGCGGCGTCGTGTGAAGGGCGACACCAAAACGCTGAATTTGCTGCTGAAAGGGCTTCTCAAGGAGCGGCTGCACGACTACGCCCGCCAGCTGTATGAAACGATGGTGGCGAAGAAGGTGGAGGTCTGGCCTGCGCTGGACTCTCACATGCGCCCCCCCGGAAAGCAGAAGAGTAGGAGGAGGCCGCCGCCACCCGCCACCCCCGCCCGCACGACAGAGTCGTGCTGACGCCGCCCTTCTCGTGGGCGGCAAATCCCGAAGGAAAAACGCCAAGAAGAAGAGGAAGAAGAGAGAAGACGGTGCCCGTGGAGGATGGTGCGTAGTATGCATGTGGTGGCGAACAGACATTGAGGATGCTGCCGAGAGGCTCTTACGGTGTCTGTGCGTGTATGCAGGTGTGTTTGTGTGTTTGTGTGACGTGGTCCACGTGCATTTATTTGCTTCGCTCCGTTTCACTGCGTTTCTATCCCAATTTTTCTTACTTCTTCTTTCACTCCTGTTCTTTTTTTTTTTTTACTTCCTTCATTGCCATCCCTTCTCTTGCGTATGCATGTGTCTGCCTGCTGCAAGCATCTCTTTGAGGCAGGCTGCGGCAGCAGGCGTGTGGGAGGGGGATTAGGCGTACGCGCGTCAGCCAGTCGCCGCCGCCGCCATGCTCTCCTTCGCGGTAAAGGAGGAACACAAAGAACTCAAGGCACCGGAGGCAGTCGGTCTTGACGACTCCACGGCAGCCGCGCCGGAACGCATGACGCTGTACACCTGCGCCAACTGCACCCGTGTTGTGGCCCTCAGCCACGCGTCGCAGCTCATGTGCACTCACTGCGTGCATCGCACTGGCTCCTCCACTGTGTTCTACAAGCTGCGCACACAGCCCACCACGTACGACACAATTTAAGAAGGAATGCAGGAAGCAGGTGGAGCCACTTCAGGGCATCCTCTGGGTTGAATTCTCTCGTCCTCTGTTCCCTTTTGTTTCACTTTTTTTCTTTTTTTGCGTGTGCGTGCGTGCGTGCGTGTGCATCTTTCACTGCCTCCTCGCAGTCTTCTGCGGAGGCGGAAGGAAACACTCCCCTAAAGAAGAGAGGTGCGGGCCGGCGCAGCTGAGGCGGCAGTCCTCATTGCGGCGTTGCGTTGCTTGCATTTATGCGTGTTGTTATTGTTCTTCTCTCACTCTAAAGAGGGAGCACCGCTTCTGCATGTCTTTCCTTCCGCGCAGGCGGTCGCACTCGCACTCGCACTCGCACTCGCACACACAAACACAAACACATCCCTTCCCTGCTTGACCCTCACGAGTTTTTATCGCCTTTGTTTTTGGTATTGTTGTTGTTGGTGCTGTTGCTTCTTGGTTTGTCTGCGGTCGCCGCCACGGCGTCTCTTAGGTGCATTAGCGATGATGAACCGGCCGCCGGCGCAGCGACCGCCGACGACGGCGGAAAAAGGTCGCTCGGGGACGCTGCCTCAGTGTGTCTGTGCGAATTGTTTCTCGCCTCTGATGCTCCCGCGGCCGGACGCGACGGGGACACCGTTTCAGTGCCCGCAGTGCCGCATGGCGGGTGTGGACATGAAGGTCCTGTACACCAGGCGTTCCTTTCCGGCCGAGCACAGCACGAACTGAGCGACGCCGGGGGTTGGCGCGTTCCGCTGCGTATCTGCGTGTGTGCTTGGAAAGAGGTGTTGGAGAGGGACGACAGGAAGCTTCAGGGATGAATTTCCAAACAAACTCTGCGGTGGATATGGGGTCATCGTCACTTATCCCTCTCTCTCTTTGTTTGTTGGTTTTTGCACCCTGTTGTTTCCTTTTTTTTTTTGGGGGGGGGGGCGTCATGGGCCTCAGACGTGTTTTTCGCCCGGACGCGCAGTCGAGGCTCGAGCAAAACTGCGTACGTGAGAGAACCGGCTGGCGACTGGTCGGGGGTTTGACCGGCCGCCGCATCACTCCACGCCGTCCTCGTAGTCTTTCTTTGCTTTATGCCCTGCGCTGACCCGCTGAACGGGGCGATGCCGGCCGACGCCCGAAGAAGGGAGGGGTCGAGCGGCGTGTGTGTGTGTCTGCTTTCTCGGCAGCACTGCCTCTCTGCTTTCTTCCTTGCCTCCTCGCTGCATCTCAAGCCGAGTCTGTGCGGGCAGCAGTATGGCGAGTCTTTCGCAGGGCCTCATTGAGGCCATCCACGCCTCACCGGTGCGGTGCGTGTTGTACGTCGCGGGTGCGGGGAGCTCAGCCATCGCCCAACTCGCCGGAGTCGCGGGGTGCTCGCGGACGCTGCTGGACGCCCGCGTGCCCTACGCCGTCGCCACCACCGCCCATATGTTGGATGATCGGCCGTCAAAGTTGGTTGCGGCGCCGGTGGCGCGCCAGCTTGCGCAGCACGCCTACCACTGCGCCGTAGACTACAGCGGCGGGGACGATGGAACGATTGTCGGCATCGGCTCCACCGCCGCCGTGCAGACGAATCGCACGAGGCACGGTAAGGACTGCGCGTTTGTGGCGGCGTGGTGCCAGCGGCATGTGGTGGAGTTTGCCTTGGAGCTGCCGGGGCACCTCCCACGCGCCGAGCAGGAGGGGCAGGTGACGCTACTGCTGCTCAAGGCCCTGGCGGAGTGCGCCAACGTCCCCTTCGAGATTTCTCTTGCGGTGCAGCCGACCCGGCAGTGCTACACGGTGCCGGCCTCCCCGCTCCGGTGCCTCCTGCAGGGGGAGACGGGATTTGTCGTCTTCAACGCCCACGGGGAGGTGCGTGCGCCACTTGTGCCCTACGCGGCGGAGTCCTCTGCCACGGCAGCCCCCGAGGCCTCAATGCGGCAGTTGTTGTTTCCCGGCTCATTTCGTCCGCTGCACTGGGGGCATACGGAACTGGCGCGGGCGGCGTCGCGAACGGTGGCGACGACGGCGGAGCAACTACGCAGTGCGAACGCAGCCGCGTCAACTGCGTCCTGCAGTGCGGCCGAGCTCCGTCGCGTCCGGGTGACGTATGAGATTTCGGTGGACAACGCAGACAAGGGCATCATCGAGTCGGAGGTGGAACTTGAGAAGCGGATAGAGCAATTTCTAGAGCGCGGGGCGCGGGTGGCTGTGACACGGGCCCGACTCTTCACCGAGAAGGCCCTGCTGTTTCCGGGGCACGGCTTTATTGTGGGCATCGACACCATGAAGCGTATTCTTGATCCAAGGTATTACGACAACTCAACGGAGGCTATGCTGCACGCCATGCAAGCTGTTCGGCAGCAGGGCTGCTACTTTGTGGTGGCTGGCCGCGCTTCAGGGGAGGGTGATGCGGTGTGGGAAGACTTGACATGCATTGACGTGCCGGCGGAAGTGCGGTCCATGCTCATTCCCATTCAGCAGGGCGACTTCCGCGTGGATGTGAGCTCGACGGCGTTGCGAAAGCGGGGTGGGTGGAACTGCCAATAGCCTTTCCCGGCACTCTCCTGCCTCCTGCTCGCCGTCCGTCTCCTGTTTCCTTTTTTGTTTTTGGCCGCAGCTGCTGTGTCCGGTGGGGACGATACATTTCCCTCCCCCCCCCCCCATTTTTCTTTCTTCCTTTTTTTTTTTACTGCGTTTCACGTCGGAGGCCCCGGCGGCTTTGGTGTCGTTGCTCTTCTGTTGCTTTTGTAGAGCTGTTGTGTGTTGTGTGTAGTGTGTGCGTTTTTTTTTCTTGCTGTTCTTTTTTTTTCTCTCTCTCTCTGCGCCACTGTGGGGCGGCAGCAACGGTAGGAGACGGCGGCTGCGCGGCGCTGCTTTCATTTTTATTTTTATTTTATTTTTTTTCCTTTTTTGGTTGTTGTTGTGTGGCTTTGCTGCGCGCCGCCACAACCTCACGACGGTCGCCGCACGGAGCAGAGTGGGAGGGGCGGAGGTGAGCCGTGATGTTTCCGCGCACCGCCCTCCTGCTGCGGGCGTACCGCCGCAAGTCGAAGGCGCCGGACCTCAAGACGAGTTTTGTGAAGACCCGGAACTTCAAGAAGGCGGAGAAGGTCGCCATCGAGACCGTCGACGGGGAGGTGGTGAAGGGGCGCGGCAAGCTGCGGCGCCGCAGCCACAGCGCCCTGAAGAAGGCCATCGCCGAGATGGAGCACCCCGCCATCTGGCTCTGGTACCCGTGGCGCATGAACCCGGAGCCGCCGACGCCGGCCATGCCGCAGCGGCGTGCGCTGAAGAACCTCCACGGCGCCGTCTTCACCGACCTCACCCCGGTGCAGAAGAAGCGGCAGGAGCAGATGCTGTACGGGGTAAATATTCCAGAGACGCGGCAGATGAAGTTTGAGCAGGAGCACCCCCTCCTTGCGGGTGCCTTGCGGCAGCTTGAGGGCCAGCCGAAAGGGTTTCCGTTTTGGTACAAAAAATACCCGACACGCCGGCACGCGTACGAGCATCGCTTTAGCATCCCAGAGGAAATGCTGGAAGGCTACGGCGAGGACATGAAAAAGGCCCTCTCCAAGGAAATGATGTCGCTTCAGGAAAAGCAATTCGCGCAGGAGGCCATGTACATGGAGCGGTACGCCGAACACGACTTCGATACGACAAGCCCCGCGGTGTTGGCGGTGAAGCGTGCCCTCAAGTGTCGCATCCTGCGAAACCACCTGCTGACGAATCCGCACAATAACATCATCAAGGCCGTGCTGGCGAGCACAGAACGAAAACTCAACCACGCGCTTCGCAGACTGCGTAAAGTGGACTTTAAGAAGTACTGGGAGATCATTCGCGACCACGATGTGCAGGACGTGCTGCAGCCGTCCAGCTTGGTTACCTACCGTCAAGGCACCTACTGGAACTATGACTGGAATGCTGGCTTGGCCATCTCCACGAACCTCGCGGACGTGCTTGACCCGCGCGGGCTCAACGGCTGCGTTGAAACGGGCCGCTCCCGCTCCGAGGTCGCCCGGGATCTTGGTCTCTCCTACACGAGGCCTTTGCAGGAGAACGAGAAGAAGCAGCTCTCGCAGCAGGCGTTGTACTATGAACGGTTGGCGAAGTTTAAGATGGAGCAGCCGGAGGCGGCGCGCGCACTGGAGCGTGAACGCTTTGTGCGGAAGTTCTCTGGCATGTTTGCAAAGATGGATATTAAGTCCGGCGCCCCCGACTTCCCGAGCACGTACCGCAAACTTCTCGGGACAAAGGTGGTGCGCTGGGCCTCAAAGCGACATGGTCCCGCGTGAGAGGAGGTGGTGCTGTTCCTATTTCTTTTTGCGCCGCGTATTCATACATTCATTGGGGAAAAAACAAAGACAGGGAAATGTATAGAGAGAGAGCGAGAAGGATATTTGTGTGTGTGTGTGTGTGTGTCTTTGTCTGTGGATGCCTTTATTGTGGCTCACGGATGGGTTGATACCGAGCTTCTGCGTCTGCGGGAGAGGAGGAGGCTTTGATTTATTGTTGTTGTTTGTCGTTGCGTCTCCACCCACCGCTTCCCCTCTCCTGTTGTGGGGCTCAAGGCACCCCTGTCGCCTGCTCGTTTATCAGGCGTCATTTCCCTCACTCTGCGTCTTCTGCTGCTTCTCTCCTCTGCTTTGGGCGGCTTTAGTTTGTGTCGCGGTCTCCGCTGGACGGCGAGTGGCGGCTGCGCACTCCGCGGTGGTCTGCAGGGGGACGAGGGGGGACGCGTCGGCAGCGGCGATGTCGGCGACTGTGCCGGAGGTGATTCTCGTGGGGCCGAAGACGCGCTACCGACACTTCACGCGGGGCCCGCGTGATTTGTACGCCCCCGCGGAGATGCTGCCGGACCCACCGCCGCAGCACGTCTGGAGCTACTGCGTGTCGCGGGAACACAACAACACGGTGTACTTCCACAACGACGCCAGCGGGAGGTCGCTGTGGGTGCTGCCGCGACTCGCGGCGGACGGCACCGAGGCGGCCGATGACGCGGAGGGCGTCATGCGGGCCATCGGCTCCGTAGAATCGGCCGCGGCAGCGCGGAGGCGCGCGGCGTCGGGGTCCACGGAGGAGGCGGGCCACGAAGCGGCCGCGGGTCGCCGCGCCGTCGTGCGGCAGAGCATTGAGAAGGCGGTGCAGCAGGCGCAGGCACGGAGGCCGGCGGAGACGACGCTGGCAACACCGCCCGCCGAGCCCGCCGCTGGGGGCAATGGAGAAGAGAAGAGCACCTCGGCACCGGTGCGGGAGCGGCTCGCGCTGTGGCGCGCCAAACGGGCGCAGCAGCACCAACAACTGCAACAGGGAGGCGATGAGGGGAGCCTCCCGCCTCACGGGCGTCCTTCTTTCTCTGGCCCCTCCACAGCCACGGCACGGCAGCGAGCGTCCTCGGCGGCTGGCAAGGCAACTCCACAGGGTGCGTGCCACGGGGCAGCCCCGGAGCAGGAGGAGGCAGTCCGCAGGGGTGTACAGCCCACACAAGACGCTGAAAAAGTAGAAAAATCACAGCCGCATCAGCGGCAGTCTCCCTCGCTTGAACGCGACGTTTACGACGAAAAGCGGCGACTGTTTCTCGAGGCCCATGAGGAGTTGCAGAGGGAGAAGGAGACGGCGCTGCAGCAGGAGCGTCTCGCACTCGAACGGGCAGCTCGCCTGCGAGAGGAGCAGCAGCGGGAGGAGGAGGAGCGCACGCGACTGGCGACGGAACGGAAGCGGCTTGAGCAGCAACGCCTAGAGCTGCAGAAGCGGGTCCTCGAGCGGCAGCGGGAGCTCCTGGCGAAGGTCGAGGAGGAGGCGGCACGGCGGGAGATGGCGGCGAAGTTAGACAACTTTTTTGAAAACAGTTCACGGCTGGAGCACCAGGCGCAGGCCGAGCGGCAGCGTGTGGCGTCATTCGAGGAGGCCATCGCGGAGTCCCTGCTGGAGGCCGTGGCGAAGAGCCGCACGGCGCCGCCGAAGGAGGAGCGGCGCATTGACCTGCGCCTGCTCGAGGAGGGCGAAGCAGACGCGGAGGGGGACGAGGATGAAAACAACAACAGCAACCGCCCCGCCGTGTTGGGGAGGGACGGAGCCCCCAACGGCCGCACGTGGAGGGAGGCTGAAGCTTCTCCCCCGCAGCGGCGGCACCGCGACCAACAACATGAGCCGCAACGGCGCCGCGACCGCATCGCGTACAGTCCATCGCTCGTGTATGTGGGGGATGTGATGGGCGGGGGTCGCAAGCCGCCGTCTTTTCTGCAGCGTCAGGGGCGAGGCACGTTTTTCTACGACGCCGCACAGAGGTACTTCTTCGAGGGCGCGTGGTGCGACGACAAGCGGGACGGCAGTGGTGCCCTCTCGCTCCCGCACGTGGCGCTGGAGGGGACGTGGCGGCGGGATCAGCTTGAGGGCCGTGCGACGTTTCAAACCAAGCGGTTGAAGGGAACAGGAGAGTTCCAGGAGGGCGTGCTTGCCGGAAATGCCGTCGTTGAAATTGACTGCAACAGCGTCTTCGCGGGGCGCGTGAGGAAAAATGCGGCCATCGTGGACTCGGGTGCCATCACGCTTGCCTCCGGCGATCATGTGGAGTGGCTGCGCGATGAGACGAAGGACCACAGGGGCGCAAGACAGCGGACTGCGACGGAGGCGTCTAGCTCTGCTAACGGCTCCGGAAACTGTCGCATCCGCTTCGCCAACGGTGACACGTACGCTGGTCAGGTGGAGAACTATCAACCACATGGGACTGGAGCCTATCGCTTTGCCGCCGAGGGGCAGGAGTACGTGGGGGAATTTCAACACGGCCGGCTCCAGGGTCGTGGCACGTATTCCTTTTCGAACGGCAGCGTGTACACTGGACAGCTGTACAAGGGGCTCTTTCATGGGGAAGGGCAGTACGTGCAGCGGGACGACTACATCTACGAGGGATCCTGGGAGTACGGCACGGCGCACGGCAAAGGGAAGCTGATATTTGCAAACGGTGATGTGTGGGAGGGGGAGTTTGACCACGACCGGCGCCTGAATGGACGCTACACTGCTTCACATTTGTTTCAGCTATAGAGAGGTGCGTCTCCCTAAACCTTGTTGCTGCCGCAGCTCCTCCCCTGTCTTGACGTTAGATGCTCAAAAGAGGGCCCCGCCGCCTCCCCAACAACAACACCAAAGACAACTGTCCCTTTGTATATGCCTCTCTCTCTCTGTGTGTGTGTGTGCGTACATATATTGTAAGCATCATCTTGAGTCCATCCATGATCTTGTTCATTATTGTTTGTTTTGTTTTGTTTTGTTTTTCTTTCTTTTTGATGCTGCGCCTGTTGTGGCTGACGGCCCTGTCGTCATACATACTCCTCCCCTCGGCGTGTACCGAGAGTAAATTTGCATGCGCCTCCGTGTGCCGGCACTCTGGCGGCTGCTTGGGGATTGCCGGGTTCCGCTCTCCCTCGCACGCTCCCGCTGCTTTTACCACCCCCACTCCTCCCCCTGCCTGCACGCATATGTTGCCAGTGTGCGGATCTCCGTTGATAGCTGCAGGACCCGTCACTATAGCCACACAAGCCGGATCGGAAATGGGCTACACGCGTGAGCGCACCCACCGCCACTTCTTTGTCGCGCGGGCCAACGCCTTCTTTTCACGGCTTCCCATCGCCCGTATTCAGCGCTCGCTGGCCATGGAGGCCATCAAGCAGGGCCGCATGCGGCCGTGGAAGCACACCAAGGAGCAGATCCTTGGTGCCCCCATAACGTGCAACTTTGACTACAATCCGCGCCCCGTGCGCCTCATTGGGACGGTGATGGACGCCCACACGGAAGAGACAAGCATCAAGGGGGGGCTGAAGGTCTACGCGCGCAACGAGGAGACGAACATGATGTTGTGGATCCCCGCGGGAAACCCAAAGCTCAGGTACGAGGTGACCGCAACCAAGGGGAGCTTTCAACACTACCTGGATGAACGCGATAAGTGGGACGAGGCGTGGCTGACGGGCCGCGCAAGGATGAAGTAGGCAGGCGGAGAGGGCACCACCGCCGTGGAGATGCGGTTCGCCGCGCTGGACGGAGGGTCTCTCTCCCTTCATTCCCTTCTTCTTGCCGCTCCTCCGCCCCTCTGCATCTCCGACCCGTTTTCTCTTCTTCATTACAGACTCTGCCTCCTGTTGCGATGAGTAGTGACGGCGTACTGTACGCTCTGAAATGTTCTTTGCTCTGTCACTTCCTTTGTTCCATGCGTCGTTTTTTTTTTCCCCTTCCCTCTCTATCGCTCTCTCTCTCTTTGCGTGTGTGTGGGGGGGGGGATGTCTGAGTGCGTCTCCGCACCGTCCATTTTCAACAACAACAACAACAACAAAAAGGAGGGGAGCCAGCAACAACAGGCGTAGCAGCGACGGGAGTGACGGATTTGCTGCCGCCTTCGTTGACGTACACTCACGCGTCCGGCATTCGCATTGCGTTGGACGCCGCCCACAACGTCGCGCCGCAAGCCGCGGCGAGAGCGCCGACGAGGCAGAGGGGCGGGCGGCACGAGGAGCAGGTGGCGGGACGCAAGCCATGCCGGCGACCGAGATGCAGTCGATGGAGATGGACATGGTGCAGGGCATGTACGACACGTACGAACTTGGTGGCCTGGACCCGCCGACGTACTCCGTCCTTCTCGCCCCCACGGCGGATGACCCGCCCGAGTTGCGCGTGACGATCGTGTACGAGTCGGAGGGGTACCCCGAGACAGCCGCCCCCACAGTGCGCCTGGAGCACCACGCCAAGCATCGCCGCATGCAGACGACGACACTCGCCAAAGAGATTGAGGAGCTTTGCGCGGAGCAGGTCGGGATGCACAGCGTCATCTCCGTCCTTCAGAGGGCCCAGGAGTACCTCACCGAGTACGCGGCGATGGAGGAGAAGGCGGAGCTGCAGCGGCGCGGGGACGCGTTGGCAAAAGCCGTCGCCGTCGCCTCGACGGCGGCGTCAGACCCCACAGTACGCATCGGAACCGCCGTCACACGTGAGCTGTTCGCGGAGTGGAGCGAAAAACACGTGGCGGAGAAGCAGCGGATGCGGGCGGTGGGGGAAAAGAAGGGCACAAAACTAACGGGCCGGCAGCTGTGGGACGGCACCCTCAAGAACGCCGACTGGGATCTTTTTGCCTCCGACGACGACGACGACGACGGGCAGGACGTCGAGTTCTACGCCCTGGCGCAGGCGGAGGGGGAGGAGATGGAGTTCGACTTAGACGACCCTGCAGAGGAGGAGGGGTGAGGCGCGCAGGCGGGGGGTGCGACCTGCCGAAGCAACTGCCTGCGTGGGTGTTAAAACGTTGGGAGGGCGACAGCGGCAACGGCGTGGGGAATGCAACGAGGACGACGAAGGAGGTTGGCGGGGAAAAGGTCCTGAGAGAAGAAAAGAAGGCGCGGAGCACCAAAAAATAATAGTGATGAGGAATTGGCTTAACATCAAGCAAAGAAACACAAAAAAAAACGGCCAGCTGCGATGGGACGCGAGAGTGAAGGAGAGAAAAGAGGCGTCAGCAGACGTGCAGGTGTGACTATAAACACTTTTACTGCCGCGCCTTCACAGGAAGGTGAGAAGTTTGCTTAGCTGCATGCCTAGCTTTTTTCTTCTTGAGCCTCCTGCGAACTCTGTCTTCATTTTTTCCCCTTCATTCGCCCATTTTTCCATTTCTCTTTTTTTTTTTTTACTTGCGTCTGCGCATTTTGTTTTGAAACGCCTTTCCTTCTCTGTGGGGCGGGCGAGAAGTGCAATGCGGCGGTTCGTGGCGCCGCTGTCGCAGCTGCACGCACAGTCGGTTCCGCGCCGTCACTTTAACGTCATTCAGCGCGGCAACGACCAGGAGGCGGAGTCGCTCTTCGCACTGCTTGGATTTGGGACGGAAAGTGAGGCGCACCGCGTCCGCCGGACGCGCGAGGAGCTTCGCCAAGGCTACCTGCGCGAGGCAATGAAGCTGAAAGACCCGCAGCATGACGGGAGGGAGGCGATGAAGCTCGCTGAGCTGCAGCGGGCGTACGCGCTGCTCGCCGATGATCAGTTTCGTGCACGCTACGCGGCCCACCACTGCGTCTCACCCGACGCGCTCCTTCACGTTCACGTCGATGGTGGACAGACGGCGGCCAACTTCAACCCTGAGCATCAGTCCTTTGACTTTGTGGATCACACGTTCTCGTCGCCCGCGTCGTCGTTGTCCTCGTCTTCGGTGCAACGGTCCTTTGGGGATTTTAGTGGCCCGTTTCAGTCCGCGACAGGCGTGTCCAGCACCCCAGCGGACGCAAAGGCGTACAGCCCCCGTGACTCACGCACTGCAGAGAACGGGCAATGTATTAACTTTATGCTCCGTATCTCCTTCGATGAGAGCATCCTTGGCTGCACAAAGACGGCTGTGTATGAGAAGCGTGTCACATGTTCTCGCTGCGGCGGTGATGGACGGCAAACTCTGAAGAAGCAGCGCAAGTGTCCACAGTGCCGCGGTCGTGGCTCGACGCATCTGCCAAGTGCCACGTACCACATTGAGCGTGCGTGCAGGTACTGTGGCGGAGAAGGTGTGGCCCCGCCACCGAAGTGTGGCACCTGCGGCGGTGCTGGTGTTCTGCAGGGCCATACCGTAAGTGTTCCCATAGACGTGCGTCCGGGCACCACCACAATGACGCTGCGGCGGCTTCGTGGAAAAGGCCACGATGGGGTGCGTGGTGGTAGTGCGGGGGATCTCATAGTGACTGTTTTGGTGCAGGACCACCGTCTCTTTCACCGCGACGGACTCGACTTTCACATGGTGCTGCCTATTCCGCTTTCGATAGCCCTCCTCGGCGGCGTCGTGTCGGTGCCAACCCTGCGTGGCGCGCACCCGCTACGCGTCCCTCCCTGCGCACGAAACGGGGAGCGGCTGACCCTGGAAGGCCATGGCGCTTCTCTGGAGGGAGTCAGCAACGCCCTCGCCAGCGCTGAGGTGGCGGCAGAGGGCGTATCGGCGCAGTCACAGCAGCAGCAGCAGCAGCGTCGACGTGGCCATCTTTACGTCCACCTGCTTGTGGTTATCCCGAAGCGAGAGGAGTTGACAGGGGCGCAGAGATGCGCCCTAGAGAAATTCACTGCCGAACAAGAAAAGGAAGGCGGGGCCAAAGGCCTTTCCGAGGAGGAAGAAGAGACAGCGGCATCACTGAAGCAGCGCTTCCGACACTGGCTGACGAAGGCATAGTGGCGTTGGCGCCATTTAGTCAGCCGCGCAGACGGCGCCCCGTACCTGGAGGGATAAATGGTCACGCCCGCTTTGCGTTCACTGTGCCCGCCGCCTGCGGCCCGGCATCACGCACCCCTGTCCCTCCTGAGGGCAGTACCAGGCAAGCGCCGTGTGCCGGACACGGCGGACCCTCTCCGCAGAGTCGCCGAGGATGCCGCCGCGGTTGTTGTTTTGCGGTTGTCGTGGTTTCTGATGTGGGCGGAGGGAGAGCGGAGCGGCCGTATGTGGGTGCGTGGGCCGGGCGGCCGTTGTGGGTTCCCCTGCGCTGTGCCCGTTGCGGGCGGCTGCCGCGGCGCCCCCGCCGCCTGTCCTGTGTGCTGCCAGCCGCCCCTTCTTCCCCGCCCTCCGTCAGGTGTAGTCGCCTCTTCACTCCTTTCTTCGCCTGCCGCTGTGCGAGCGGGCCTTGTTGTGCGTGTGAGAGCGGGGCGGTGGAGGGGCTGTGTGCTCGTCCTCGGTGCGCACGCGTTCGTGGGCTTGCCGAGGCGCTGGCTGGGGCAACGCCGCGCGGAGGGAAAGGGCTGCGACACACAAGCGTGTTGGGAGGAGGCGGAGGATGGAGGACAAACTGCGCACTGCCACTCGAGAGGAGCTGGTGGCCCACGTGCGCACCCAGCGCCTTCTCATTCGGCACCTGCATCGACGCATCGTCGAACTGGAGCGGGCGGTTTCCTCGGCGCCCTGCAATTGGGATCCTGGGAGGGGCGGTGCGGCAGCTTCGGCGCCCTCCTCGCCGCAGCGAGGCCCGCCGGCGGCAACGCTGTCGGAGGGGCTGCGGGAAATTGGCCGCCTCCTGCAGGCGCACGCCACGGGGGCGGCGCCTCTTCCACAGGAGCTTGTG